ACTTATTATTATACATCTTTTCCTTCCAAGGATACATCATGGGAATGCCGAAATCCAAAAAGTTTAGAACAGAATCAGTGAACTTCTTTGTACAGAGTCCGGTCAAACCCCGGTGGCAGCCATGTTTGTTTTTATTATTAGAAGACGCTTATGCGCATAATCATTCCATATTTGGAATTTGCATTTCCTTATATGGTAGGATGAAAATACCGCAAATTTCCAGCACGCTGTAACTTATAGCGTTACGATGACAGATATATAATAATTTCTAATATGTCCTATAATAGTCAATACGTAAATAAAACTTAACGAATGAACTCAGATGAAACTTTTATAGTGTAGTTAATAATTTTGCTATACTTAAAAAACAGTATTTTGTAGGTAAATTAAGAAAACTTCTATATATTTTTGCAAGATTTAGATGTTTGGTATATGTTGTTGAAACAAATTGAAACTATCACGATGTTAATAATAACTTTTTTCTTTGAAATAAAATTGTTAAATTCTTATTTTTCCTTGTCTTTTATTGTTTCAAGTGTCGCATGATTTCCATTCGCTGAATTTGCATAAATTTAGTGTTGATAGCGCTCTGCTTCCTTGCAACTAAAATGTGACTTTATTCTTGACAACTGAATGTTTGTAGCGAAATACTGTAGTCTGACCACACCTTGTTCTATATGGATCTCGTACAATTTCTACGTCTTGTTCGATATGGGGCCTGTAACTACGTCCTTGTATTCAAATCAGACCTGCATTCTCTTGTTTATACTACCAAAACGGAAAATGCTGCAGGGAAGCGAAACATTTTTTTTTTTAAAGATGTTTTTACACTTTTGTATTTAAAATGGTCAGAACAACATTTTTACGATTTTCCCGATTCTGTCGAAATGCTGATACAAAAACTATTTATGGTTCAACCTGAAAATTTATATATTTCCGGTCCTCATATATCATTATGAAAGGTGAACTGCCAAATCTATTCTCGGGAGCGGGCATCCCAGCATTTTCACCACCTTGTAACCATCAACCAAAAAATGATTTTTATTATTGATACAAGTTTTAATATTGTAAAAACATTTATTTTACTGTGATAAAAAGTTTTCCAATTCCATTCACAATGGGAAGTTTTCTCCCATAATGCACTGCATAGACCAATTTCCCGGAAGTAGCAAGACTGCCGTGTAAGTAAGATGGCTGCCTGTTGTCACGGCCTCAGATACAAATAGCATTGTGTCAACACAGGTGGCGCTGTTCAGCACAGACCTGTGTCTTATGACGCATAACTAGCCTCTGATGGCTAAATATCTATCCGCCACCATTTTACTCAGCGTTTTTTTCCGCGGAACTATATACAAGTATTTTTCTTGTTTTGAACACATTCTCTCCCGATTGTTAGCAAGATTTAATCTTTAATGAGTTGATCAATTAAAATACTCATCAGAATGTCTTATTTTATTAAAATTAAAATGCATGTAATTTGGAAGGTCATTTAGCATTGACCGCAAACCAACTGAATAGCGCTACTTGTGTTGACACAATGTGGAAATAGTTCCGACCATAGTTCCACGCGCGGGTATGTGTCAGATCGGTTGGTTTGCGGCGATCTGAGTGTCAGTGATACAAATAGTGCTGTGTGATGATATTCTGTGGATGGAGTGATAATTTGGTCAAGTTGATTTGTACAGCCATAGGTACAATATCATGCATGCAAGTTTACATTGCATCTCCATATCTCGTAATCGCGTACATACGAAAAACCGCATCTTCTGGGAAAGTGGTCTATATATGCACAGTACTGTAAAATGACTAATTTTCACTGGGTTTAAATTTCACTGATTTACCATTTCAGACATATTCAGTGGGTTTTAAATTCACGGTTTTGTCATTTAGATAATGTGTTCTATGCTGAATTTTACAGATTCACTGGGTTTTAATTTAGCGCATTTTCCAGTCAGCGAAATAAGCAAAATTAAAACCCAGTGAATAATTACCCCCTTTACAGTAACATGCTATATAGTAATTGTTTCTCTCAAACTGGACATTGGTGGCGCTCTTTTCAGATACACACAGGGTCTGGAGTGCATTCAGAAACGTTTCAAAATTATTTAGCCAACGTTGTTACGCCAGCTAATCACCTCATAACATTATCTCGCACTACAATACACCCGAAAAAAAAATACTGGGGGGGGCGGGGGTATGCATGCATCTTAAAACGAGATACTGTAAAACATGTCTTTTTTGCGAGCATGTCTTTTTCAGCGAAAGAACCAATTCGCTTATTTAAGGTGTCTGACTGACTTCATTATAAATTCAAAATGGCGGCCAAACAACGTCTTTTTCTCCACACTCACACTTTGTAAACAACACAGAAAATGTAATAATCTGGAGTGCTTCCTTATTACACTTGACAGTTTTTCTTTGTTTTTATGGAGATGATAACTGCGCAATTGTTTTGGCAGGCGACAGACAAGTATTGTGAAAACAGGAAATCAACAAAGACAAAAGAAAAAATCAACAATTCGCTATTACGTCATTTTACCACAATTCGCTAAAATAGAATGTTGCTTTTGCAACATGTTTTACAGTACTTGACTCGCTGCTTGTCAGGTTTTTACTGGAAAAATTTTCCGAGCATTTTTTTTTTATGAGGATGCTTACATACACCTGATAATGAGTAAATATAATTCATCTGGATTTTGTCAAAAAATTTAATTCAAAGTTACCGACACACAGAAGATTACTAACTTAAAATTGAAATTATTGTTTACATGAGTGTCTATATCTCTCTGTGGTCTATCTCTTGGATGAATGTCAGAACACAGTCATGTTTAATTTCTCCAAACATGATTATGTCCAATTTCATGCATATTAATACTGTGCATCTCAGTAAGATGGATAGATACACTAATATCCAGCGAGGAAAACATCTTCTAACTGGGACTTCTGGATTGAACTGCGGGATTTTCACTCTGGGTCAGTCCCTCGACTCTCTTCTTCTTTCTCTTGAATTCTTTTCATTCTTTCGAGGTAGGCTTCTAACGATCGTCCTTTGCGTTTTATGACATAACTTTTGACGATGAGAGTTGTTTCCACTTCTTCTTTGCCATTCATCTACATCGAGAAAAATATTATTAATGCGCGTCTTCATAATCACACAACTTTCAACTTGACAGTGTACATGCAACGTGTGTTCTGTAGATAACTTGTTAGACTAGATGTAATCTATCGTGAGATTTTGAAAAATCAGTGAATAATACGACTTGTTAATTCGTCTGTGGGCGTGTTGTATGTACGAGTGAGACTACACATGTGAGTCTCCATGGTAATTTACTGAAGTCATGTAAACAGCCAATCAGTGATGAACAAAAAGTTCTCAATATCGTCTACATATTTTCATAGCGATTCACTAACCCATTCACTGTAATTCAATGTAAAAGTCATTGACTCCCTAGGACCTTAATAAAAGTCAACGACTCCCTAGGTCTTGAAGGTATACTCTGAGAGCATTTCTATAGCTGTACTGGGGTCTTAAAGGGGAACCGATACTATAAATAGGGGCAAGATGGCCACCGCAATCAGTATGCTAATCCGAACCAAGCCGCTCACATTGTGGCGGGAGCTCCGGGAAATAAGTAAAAATCATGAGTTTAAAATGGCGACTAATGTATGCAAAATGCCTGTCAATCACAGTTTGAGTAAACGAGCCAGAGTTAATTACCCAATGTCGAGAAATTGTTGATTTCCCTAGACCTTCGAAAATTGAAGCGATTACCATAACATTATATGACAAAATAAAACTTACAGTTACTTTGATTGGATACTCTCCAAACCTTGTGATTGGTTCATCTGGTAACGTCAAAGCGTACTCTGGGACAATTACACCAAGCTGCAATGACAAAAGACAATAGCGTTTGTTACATATGATGTCACAGTATTATGTAATAGCAAGTTAATGAACACTAAAAAAAAAAGAGAGTCAATATCTTTTACTCTGGTCCTAGGGAGTTACAGTGACATTGACTGTGGTCCTAGGGAGTCAATTACTCACTCTGGTCCTAGGGAGTCAATGACTTACTGTGGTTCTAGGGAGTCAATGACTTACTGTGGTTCTAGGGAGTCAATGACTTACTGTGGTCCTAGGGAGTCAATGACTTACTGTGGTCCTAGGGAGTCAATGACTTACTGTGGTTTTAGGGAGTCAATGACTTACTGTGGTTCTAGGGAGTCAATGACTTACTGTGGTCCTAGGGAGTCAATGACTTTTACAGTGGTTTTAGGGAGTCAGAGTGACTTTCACTATAGTCCTCAGTGTAGTCACATTGTTTACATGTACTGTATTTATAACATTGTGACATTGAAATAATTTAAAAGCTACAGTAACAATTATTAACGACGACAACAACAACAATTCCAGACAGAAATTTCCCCTTAGTATACCTTTTCCTCCCATCTTTGATGAAACGGGCAAGGTAAAAACCACGGCCAAGTAACACAATAGAAGTTAAAATTGTTATTGACGGTATTGTCCGTTTTGTGTGCTGAATGATGTCTTATGATAATGTCAGTGTTGTTTCATAACCTTGAAAATACTATATCACAATTTGATTACTTTAAAAACACTTTAATTATTCGCTGGTTTTCATTTTATTTTGTTATTTTCCTTGGTAAGTAAAATTTTCTAAAGCAAATTAAAGCGAACTGAACTTATTGTTTCACTGCCAAGTTCGCGAACCGAAAATCTATACTGCAAAGTCTACTGTGTATCCTCTAGGGCGGAGCTACGTCACAGACGTTCCACGTTGCTAAGAGGCGCACCACTGTACCATGCATTTCTATGGGCTCTGCATGTGCTGTTGTGGAACGCCAAGCGAAGAGCCAGTGAAAATAGCTAAATTCAAGAAAACAACACAAACTCAACTTTGAAGTAATCCTGAACAACCAAATTTATATGTTACACACACATGGCTAATCTTGTTACACTGTTCAGGAGAGTCTCAACAACCATCCAAAAGTACCGTTTTCTGAGAGGTTTCGGCTTATGTTTTCACTGTGATGGTTGCCAGGCGATGAAAATGCCCGGATATCTGCCCTCAAGAATAATTAAACATTATCGCCGGAATGTTTCATCATGCACAACCTCATTGGTGCAATAGTCAAAGTACTGAATGCTCGTCTGAAAGCAACGTAAATTTGCTGACTAACATGCTGTATTGGTAATAGAACATATATAATATACTGTAAAAGGATTAATTATTCACTGGGTTTTAATTTTGCTTATTTCGCTTACTGGAAAATGCGCTAAATTAAAACCCAGTGAATATGTACAATTTAGCATAGAACACATTATCTAAATGATAAAACCATGAATTTAAAACCCAGTGAATATGCCTGAAATGCTAAATCAGTTAAATTAAAACCCAGTGAATATGCCTGAAATGCTAAATCAGTTAAATTAAAACCCAGAGAATATGTCAAATTGAGCATAGAACACATTATCTAAATGATAAAACCGTGAATTTAAAACCCACTGAATATGCCTGAAATTTAAACCCAGTGAAAATTAGTCATTTTACAGTAAATGTTCTCGAACTGGGTAGTGTGCACAGTACGTGTTACAAGATTTTTATTAAAAAAAGATATAGTCACTTACTTTGAATTCATAGGCGTCAACGACGTGGAATTTTTCTATTTTAAATGGAATATTGTACCTCATTTCCAGAACCACAGGGTTCTTTTCAAGATATTCGATAGTCTGGAATGAAAAGAAAAATATTCATACATCAGTCATGTCATTGATACCAGCATGTAGCCAATCAGAGACAGCAGACAGCCGGTGAATTCCTGGAGTAATAACTAACAAGGCATGGTGTTTCTGCCAAGCCATTTTTAGAGTGATTATTATTAATTAAACAATTAATTATTAAAAAAAAATTAATTAAACTTTCGTTAAATTCTTTACCAACGCATTGAAAGCACTCCCAATGACTTGCCTCATAAAAAATTCATTAAATTGGAACAAAAATAGCTAATTTTTTGAGTAAAAACTGAAAAATGATTTAAATTTTGTCTGTTGGCTCCAAAATTAGGGTTAATTTCTATAAATATTGAAGAATATAAGAAGAAAGTGCAGACAAATTTGGGCAAGGTGAAGATGGGTAAAGAAGTGGTGTTTTTCACTTTCCAATCATTTCCAAAAAAGCAAGGCCAGTACTGGATGGCCAAAATTTCTGATCGCAAATTTAAAGGCAGGCGGCACAGAAAGTTTCAATGTTACCCTTGAGAGTTATTTTAAGGACGCAAATCGTATTAAAAGTCGGTGTGGCTTTGGCTGCAAAGCCAAAGTGTTAACAGAAGTTGGATACATGTATCAGAGAATTATATGTTGTTTGGATGACTGTCTCAGTCATGTCAATTTTATTGTTTTATATGATAATTCCTTAAAGAATGAGTTTGTAGATTTCCTCACATTGATTGACATGAGAATTCCAGGACTGGTCTGTTCTGCCACACTCTCTATACAGTACCGTAGTTGTCAATGCATGTTTGAGGTGACAAATATGCTAATGAGTAATGATAGCATGAATTGTTAGCTGGCAGCCAATAAGAAAGCCAGCTTTTGGTGCGATCTGTTCTTCGCAATAGGTGATTTTCCGTTCGACTGCGAGATCTCGCGAGATGCATGAAAGACGCACATCGAATGTCTGCCGCGAAAATCGAACATTTGATTTTGAACTTGGATTTCTTTATTTCGTAGCTCACATCGACCGGCCGATCTTCGACAGAGGAATATTGCTTTTGAATACCCTCACTTACTTCGAAATTGTCTATCATCAAATGTGTACAGCACAATTATTAAGCATGGAAATGCCCCCCCCCCCCCAAAAAAATATTTTCGCGTTTGTCGAATCCCACACAATATTTGGCTTCACTATGACACTATGACCTTGGTTTGTCCTGTTTTTATGTTCTATTTCACGCATTACGTGTGATTCTCGCAGTGAACGGAAAATGGTCAATTATAATACATACATAACCAGACGCATAGAATCATTTACACAAACGCAATTCTACTTTCCTATTTTGTTTCCAAAATGTCACTGTATGTCATCAATATAATAGCAACAAATATGCCTCAGAATGAATCATTCATAGTAATTTCACGTCGGATCACAATTTAAAAAAAAAAAACAAGTATTATGAAATGGCTGGGCCAGTCTAGCAATGACCCAGCGTACTACTTCAAAAGGTAGGTGCTTGTGCCATGCATGTGTGGAATACAGACTGAAGCAATTTCACTGGGTGAAATTTGACGACGAAACAATAAATCTTATTGTTATTTGACATTTTCATATGGATTCGGTTTAGCGAATTTTACTCATCAGTGAAAATGGAGAAATTACAAAACAGTTAATAATTATGGCATTTACAGTATCGCATGGCATAACCAGGTTTCGGAATAAACTCTACAGGAATTCTATCCAACCTATTGGCAAATTCAATACAGCTTTGGCAGAAATAACTTTATACTAAGCACTGATGTATTATTATCTATAAAGTGTTCCTTTGCATCCCCACGCCTAACCCTAACCCAGTCCTCCAATTCAATTGTACATGTCCCCTCTAGATAAGAGACAACATCAAAAGTTCAATGTAGGATAAAAAACTTAATTCCTTTAGTTTTTCCCCCAACACCCACCCCACACACACTGAAACTTAATTGATAAATATTGATCATGGCGTCAGACTACATTAACCATTAAATACAAATTGATAATCGGAAGGTAGTATGGCATACCAGTTGGTTGTCGGGTGGGTGTAAAAAAACTTTACAAATGTCCATGCCCTGAAATTGACCTCATTTGACATACATATTTACACTCGGACCAAACCATTTTCTCGTCTTGGATGTGTTTTTTTTTCATTTTTTGTTATTTGTTATTTTGTCCATGATTGGACAGAAAAAAAAAAAACGAACTATAAATACTACAAGATTTGTTTGACTTCATTAAAAAATAAAATCGTTTTTGTAGGATGAAAACTTTTTGAAGTCAAACCCTCCACCCCCACCCCCAAATGGGGGTGCAAAAGAAACTCTTTTCCAATGTAGATCACAATCATTTAATAGGTTATATTTACAGCTATTAAAACTTATTGACCTACCCTTACGGCCATACGTGATAATTTAACTTCTCCAGTGACTTCATCTTCAACCTGAATAAATTGAAACAAATTTGCATAAAATTAAAATAGGAGTTAAATAAATTAGAATAAAGTTGAACGAAGGATTTACGCAGGAAGTCTTTGAGCTGTAGCATAGTCATCCTGTCGAAGTCGGCCATGGTCGAAAACGTGAAACAGATGGAAGAAATCACTCTGGGAAATTTAACGCATGACCCCGGGCACACGCACGATTTAGCGCTATTTTGATTCAAAGCTTGACCTGTATCACGTGACTAGCAACCGGTTTCTAGGCAAATTTAACGGTCTCGCAAGATCTCGTCTGAAGCATGAAAATAGCCTATTTGTTTACCGTGAATTAATTTAAATTAAATACAATTGTAATTTACAGTAGAATTAGAATACAGTTATTTCAAAACAAAAACATAAATATGCATTTATGAACAGTAAAACACCATGGTGTCCATCACAATATCTCGGTTATGACTTTGACTTCACAGTCTAAACCATGGTGTTTTATTTCAAATCTCACTGGTTCTCAATGTTGTGTCCTTGAGCAAGGCACTTGACTCCTGTTATAGTATGTCCGAAAAGTGGTTGAGGATAGGTGAGAAAAAAATTAAAAAAACAAAATGGTCGCCAGTTTATCAGTTTGAATCAAATCACAAAACAAATCTACATGTATGTGTAATGCACATACCAAGTTTGAATGAAATTCGTCAAGGCGTGTCTGAGAAACAGTTGATGACATTTTTTGGATGTTTTTGGGGAGAAAAACAGACACCAGTCTGTCAAAAGTCATCAAAGAAAATCAAAAACGGGTTAAACAAATGTACATAAACTACTGGAAAATTAACAGACATTTGATGACAGTCAGTCATAAAATCATCGGTATTGGTTCTAATGCATATATATTTTTACAAACATAATCTACTATAACTTTTTCCACACCAGACTTTCTCCCCCAAATTATTCTGAAATTTTTTCTTGCATTCTTATATTTCTAGAAATGAGCCCTAATTTTGGAGCCAACAGTGAAAATTTGAGTCAATTTTCAGTTTTTACTCAAAAAATATGTTATTATTATAGCACTTGTCAAACAAAACTAACGTCAACATTGTTTTGAAGACAGTTGCGCCCAAAGTTCCCGCACAAATTTTCAACGATCTTGTCATTACCACCTTTGCATCACCAGACTTCCTTGCTCAAATTTGTTGGCCCACTTATCTCATATTCTTTAATATTTTTGGAAATGAATCCTAATTTTGGAACCAACAAACAATTGAGTCAATTTTTAGCTTTTGTACAAGAAATTTCGCTATTTTTGTCCCAATTTACTGAAGGAAAGTGCAGACTATAAACGGGAGTATTTTGTGAATTTATGATAAAAAGAGGGAACTGGTGGGTGGTGAAAAGGATAAAACATTTCCTGGTGATAGGAACTGGTCTTCATACCTTTTTTGGTAAACAATATTCCTTGACATTTTCTTCGGTTGGATAAACAGCAAGGCCTTTAGCAAGGAGAGCATTACGCCCTATTCTTTTAGACACACTGATGATGTCACCGATAGAGCCATATTCTGTAAAAGGTTAGAATTAACCAATGTTTAACAGCAATAACCAATCGTGACCAATATTTACCAGCAATAACCAATCTTAACAATTTATCTGACTTTTACCAGCAATAACCAATCGTGACCAATATTTACCAGCAATAACCAATCTTAACAATTTATCTGACTTTTACCAGCAATAACCAATCATGACCAATATTTACCAGCAATAACCAATCTTAACAATTTATCTGACTTTTACCAGCAATAACCAATCGTGACCAATATTTACCAGCAATAACCAATCTTAACAATTTATCTGACTTTTACCAGCAATAACCAATCGTGACCAATATTTACCAGCAATAACCAATCTTAACAATTTATCTGACTTTTACCAGCAATAACCAATCGTGACCAATATTTACCAGCAATAACCAATCTTATTTGACTTTTACCAGCAATAACCAATTTTTACCAACATTTACAGGAACAACCAATTTTAACCAACATAACCTAATGTTTATCTACATAATTTGAACCACAGTGACATTAAACATTACGGTCCTTCCTTGAGTAACTTATCATTTAGCCAGCATTAAGCTTTCAAAATTGCCAAGTTATGTTCAGACCAAACTGTGTTGTACCAATGAATAAATTTTCTGCTGTGCCTTACATATTCTTTTAGATATACTGATGATGTCACTGCTAGAGCCATACACTGTAAAAGGTCAGAATTAACCAATGTTTAACAGCAATAACCAATATCAACCAATGATTACCAGCATTAACCAATCTTAAGCAATTTTATCCAACTTTTACCAGCAATAACCAATCGTGACCAATATTTACCAGCAATAACCAATCTTAACAATTTATCTGACTTTTACCAGCAATAACCAATCATGACCAATATTTACCAGCAATAACCAATCTTATTTGACTTTTACCAGCAATAACCAATTTTTACCAACATTTACAGGAACAACCAATTTTAACCAACATAACCTAATGTTTATCTACATAATTTGAACCACAGTGACATTATACATTATTCCTTGAGTAACTTATCATTTAGCCAGCATTAAGCTTTCAAAATTGCCAAGTTATGTTCAGACCAAACTGTGTACCAATGAATAAATTTTCTGCTGTGCCTTACATATTCTTTTAGATATACTGATGTCACTGCTAGAGCCATACACTGTAAAAGGTCAGAATTAACCAATGTTTAACAGCAATA